AAAGTCGACGCGATTCCGTGGAATATTCGTTCATTTGCGAACGATGTTACCGAGCTTAGCCTTTGATTTCGATATCTATCGAAGTCATCGGATATCAGGATAATCTACAGCTCCCATTGGCCCCGTCTGGTTATAACTTAGCCTCATTAGAACGATATCGCGCAATTAACAGAATTTCTCCGGCGTGCTTGCATGAATATTAAGGGGTGGTGTGGGAGTTAGGCGAGATTCGCGGAGCCGCCGTATTTGGGTGTAGCGATTGGAACTTCCTTGTCACCGGTACGAGCTGATAGCGTTTTCGTTCAGTCACGATTTTCTATTTTCACCAGACGAGCGCGATAAGCGTCGTCGTCCGGTCATATAAGCGATACCTGAATTCAATTCGAAAATGGAACCGCGGATGTTTATTCGAGCGATTGAAATGCTCGTAAATAAGGACTTTCCATCAACTGGTTTATTACACATACTCTGTCCTCCTTGGTACGCTAAGGATATTCATGGGACTGTGCACGTTGATTTCAATTTCCGATAGAGACACGTCCGATCGCGATCTTTTGCCTGTTTACACACTGAATTATAACGCCGTCGGTGGCGAGTTTTAACGATACGATGACACGCATTGGAAACGAGATTCCTGTTTGATGTTGCAGAAATATAGCGAGATCGTAAATTGTAGAATTAAACAGCGACACCGTTTCCGTGCTGTCCTTAGATCTTTATCTCTTCACGTTTCTGTCATTTCTCTTGTCGGTATGTTTGAACGTGTCAATTTTCACACCTGACCGATTTCACCTGGATTTCTTCCATCGACTGTACTCTGTCCCGACCATTTTTCTTTCTCACCTTTGTCGTTCTAGCTCGAACACCCTTCGTTCGAGCAACTCGAGACTAAACACTCGCACAGCCGTTCTCTACCACCCCTGTATGTATCTCGGAATCACTAATAAACACGTCGCACATAGCCGTGCTTGTACTTGTCTGACTGCGTCTAACACGAAAGCGCAAGCTGTCTTAGCTCTCAATCATTAAGACGAATTGCTCGTTTGATTAATCGTACGCCGTTTGCCCTTGAAGCTGTTCTCTGGTTCGCGTGCCAACACGATCTCGCTTTCCAGCCCCTCTGTCCGTGCAATTTGTCAATTTACAATTATTGTCCGCACGTTCGATCGCGTCTGACGTGTTCGCGTTATCACGATCACGGTGGAATTCCGTGGGACGTGACTAAGGGACAAGAGAGAGTTTACTTACCGTTTAGCAAGTTGATCGAATGTCCTGGAATCTTGAGGACTTCTCCTGCTCTCCACCTTCACTTTCACCAATTTAGAATTAATACTGTTGCATTCACACTTGTTGGAGTCGAACAGGTGACGGGCTTGACGAGAGAGAGAGAGAAGTTTCACGTGGAATTGCGATTATGGGAAAACTCGAAAGTGAAGTGTTTTACGAAGTTTCGCTGAATCAAAGTTATCATTGTTACTTGCTTTAATAATAACGAAGTGTTTCAAGTTTTCTGAGATGTCGAGGCTAATGGTTTGTGACAAGTTTACATAATTCAAGAATGATAAGATGAAAGAAAAAAATCATTTTATTCTAATGATGATTAGAATTAGTATTGTGTCAAATCGACTTACCTACCAATCACAAATACATCCCGAATCTTGCCAAAACCACGTCTAACTGAGAGACCGTTTCGCTAAAAAAGAGGCAAATTTTTACACGTAAAAGCCGCACTTGCCGCACAACGAGCTTCTCATCGACTCGAAAAAATTGAATTCGTAGTGACATTGATATCTCGTTAATTAATCCCGCATCCGAGTGCTATCCATGGAAAGGGGAATAGCTTCAGCGACGCGGCTTCATCGATAGGTCAAAGGGTGGGTGGGAAAGTCTCGACAAATAATTAGCGCGAAATTAATTGAATCGAGTATGCATTCGTTAAACGGAATATCGATTTTACCTTTTGTTCGTAACGCGGGACGGACGGACGGACGTGGGTGAATTTTCCGGCGG